GACGATTGGGGAAGCCAACCAAGAAAGACACGGACGGAAAACTGAAAGGTATGACTCTGTACGTCGTCCACTTACTCTCCATGCCTACCGGCAGTGCCGGTGGCCGTTACTGGCCGGTCATAGAAGGAGCTGTCGATTGTGGAAAGCCAACCATGGAATGCGCGGAGGGAAGACTGGTAGGTATGACTCTGTACTTCCTACACTTACCCTCCATGCCTACCTACAGTGCCTGTAACCGTTACTGTCCCGTCAAAAAAGGAGTTAACGATTGTGGAGAGCCAACCATGGACGACTGGGAATGCCAACCATCAAAGGCACGGACGGAAGACTGGAAGGTATGACTGTGTACTTCGTCCACTTACTCTCGATGCCTAGCTGTAGTGCCGGTAGCCGTTACTGGCCGGTCATAGAATGAACTGTCGATTGTGGAGAGCCAATCATGGACGACTGGGAAAGCCAACCATGAAAGGGCACGGACGGAAGACTGGAAGGTATGACTGTGTACTTTGTCCACTTACTCTCCATGCGTAGCTGTAGTGCCGGTAGCCGTTACTGGCCGGTCATAGAAGGAACTGTCGATTGTGGAGAGCCAAACATGGACGACTGGGAAAGCCAACCATGAAAGGCACGGACGGAAGACTGGAAGGTATGACTGTGTACTTCGGCCACTTACTCTCCTTGCCTAGCTGTAGTGCCGGTAGCCGTTACTGACCGGTCATAGAGGGGAGCGGACGATTGTGGAGAGCCAACCATGGACGACTGGGGAAGCCAACCAATGAAGGTGATGACAGAAGACTGGAAGGTATGACTGTTTACTTCGTCCACTTACTCTCCATGCCTACCTGCAGTGCCGGTGGCCGTTACTGGCCGGTCATAGAAGGAGCTGTCGATTGTGGAAAGCGAACCATGGACGATTGGAGGAACCAACCATGGAAGGCGCGGAGGGAAGACTGGTAGGTATGACTCAGTACTTCCTACAGTTACCCTCCATGCCTACCTACAGTGCCTGTAACCGTTACTGTCCCGTCATAGAGGGAGCTGACGATTGTGGAGAGCCGACCATGGACGACTGGGAATGCCAACCATGAAAGGCACGGACGGAAGACAGGAAGGTATGACTGTGTACTTCGTCCACTTACTCTCCATGCCTAGCTGTAGTGCCGATAGCCGTTACTGGCCGGTCATAGAAGGAACTGTCGATTGTGGAGAGCCAACCATGGACGACTGGGAAAGCCAACCATGAAAGTCACGGACGGAAGACTGGAAGGTATGACTGTGTACTTCGTCCACTTACTCTCCATGCCTAGCTGTAGTGCCGGTAGCCGTTACTGGCCGATCATGGAAGGAACTGTCGATTGTGGAGAGCCGACCATGGACGACTGGGAAAGCCAACCATGGAAGGCACGGACGGAAGACTGTAAGGTATGACTGTGTACTTCGGCCACTTACTCTCCTTGCCTAGCTGTAGTGCCGGTAGCCGTTACTGACCGGTCATAGAAAGAACTGTCGAATGTGGAGAACCAACCATGCACGACTGGGAAAGCCAACCATGAAAGTAACGGACGGAAGACTGGAAGGTATGACTGTGTACTTCGTCCACTTACTCTCCATGCCTAGCTGTAGTGCCGGTAGCCGTTACTGGCCGGTCATGGAAGGAACTGTCGATTATGGAGAGCCGACCATGGACGACTGGGAAAGCCAACCATGAAAGGCACGGACGGAAGACTGTAAGGTATGACTGTGTACTTCGGCCACTTACTCTCCTTGCCTAGCTGTAGTGCCGGTAGCCGTTACTGACCGGTCATAGAGGGGAGCGGACGATTGCGGAGAGCCAACCATGGACGACTGGGAAAGCCAACCATGAAAGGCACGGACGGAAGACAGGAAGGTATGACTGTTTACTTCGTCCACTTACTCTCAATGCCTAGCTGTAGTGCTGGTAGCCGTTACTGGCCGGTCATAGAAGGAACTGTCGATTGTGGAGAGCCGACCATGGACGACTGGGAAAGCCAACCATGAAAGGCACGGACGGAAGACTGGAAGGTATGACTGTGTACTTCGGCCACTAACTCTCCTTGCCTAGCTGTAGTGCCGGTAGCCGTTTCTGGCCGGTCATGGAGTGAGCAGACGATTGTGGAGAGCCAACCATGGATGATTTGAGAAGCCAACCAGTGAAGGTGATGACAGAAGACTGGAAGGTATGACTGTGTACTTCGTCCACTTACTCTCCATGCCCAGCTGTGGTGCCGGTGACCGTTACCGGCCGGTCAAAGAGGAAGCTGTCGATTGTGGAGAACCAACCGTGGACGAATGATGAAGGCAACGAACGAAGACCCAGATGGAATACGTAAAGGGAATACTACATACCTCGTTTATTTACTGTTCATGCCTACCTACAGTAAAGGTACCATTGTCTTCAGGTGATGAGGTATTCTTTTCCGAAGGTTCATGGGCAGGTGGACAAGGAGTTACCGCATGGAACTGGAAGTGTGTAATCGCGTACCCTTTTTATTGTAAACCAAACTGTTGTATGTTACTGTTGTGGCAAACCGGCGGCCCAAGGCAGTCGGGGACGATTTCCCCTACCTCGCCAGTCCCCCTACCTGGCCAGTGTATTGTACCTTTTAATAAATCAGAGTAAATATTTGATATGTACTTGTAGTTATTAGTGATTACGGTACTGCGAAGCCTCCGGAATGAGGTAAGGTGTGGTAAGCAGTTGAATAACTGTCATCCGAAGGGCTGCGTTAGCTGGTAGGTGCCTATGGATCACTAATGGGGGAATTGAACGGACGTTGTCTGTTGGATGGGTGGCTGTCTCTAGCAGTGGTAAGGTAGCCATCATATAACGGTAAGGATTGCGACTAATCGACCAACCTTGAAGGCTTGGTACGTAAACATATTTACGTACGTAGAATAATGCAATGACGTCCACTACGCCTCGTCGATAAACCCTTGTAGGTCAGGAAGGAAGTGATTACTGAAGGCCTTTAGGGCGGGAACTGAGAGATACGTAGAGACTGTCTGAGGCCGCTGCCGGCCACGGTAGACGATAAGTAGGAATAGCTGCAGCTGGTAACGAGCGACATGACCCACCCGTAGGGAAGGGCATATCAGGTCAACTAACAAAGCCGGTTGGGAGGGACAGTAGACTGTGAAGCAGGCGGAAAGAGAAACAGCCGATGAAGGAATTGTCGATTGCGGTACGTTTGCGTAAAAGGGAGCGGTACTGCGGGAAATGATATCCGCACGGCGTAGATTACAGGCCTTCGGAAGGGGGAAAGGGGAAAGGCGTGGGCTAGGCGGTAGAGGTGTATGTAAATACGGCAGTGGTCTAAGAGCCGAATGCCTGTGGTAGCAGCTACCCCAAAGTGACAGACGTATGTTTGGACGGCGTAGGCTGTAAGCCTTTTAGTTTCAGGGGGGAGGGGTGGGTGTTGCGGAATATGCCGAGGGAAGGCCTGCAGGGTCAGGTGTACGCCCGGAAGTTGAAGGCGGGCTGGAAACGTTAGTGGACAGCTGGCATAAGTGGTAGTCCTACTGACGAAATGGGAATGCCGAGCAACTCAGTCAGGTGGACTCCGGAATGCGTAGGAGGAGAGGCAAGTGAACCATGATTGGAAACCGAGAGATGATGACGGGAAACACTACGTAAACCGAGAAACCGTCGAACGGGCAGTTAACAGCGCAACTGCAACGCATGGGGAACTGCCCAGAGGTGGTTTGGAGTAAGAGAAGTTTGTGTGCGTAAATGCATAGAAGTTGCATTGTATGTTGGACATAAATTTTAGGCAACTGGAAATGGGAACTCCACGTAAACCCTACGGAGGCGGGTTGCTAGGTGTGTTTGAATGTTTCCTTCTAGCCATGGAGGCCACAGGTCTTCCATTACGGCTACCTTACGTACTATTGTTTGTTCAGTAGGTGTGCTTGTGGTATTTTTTTTTGCCGCGGCGGCAAAAAAAAATACCACAAGCACACCTACTGAACAAACAATAGTACGTAAGGTAGCCGTAATGGAAGACCTGTGGCCGCTTATTTGGCACCGGTCTAAAACTGTATGTAGAAGGTTGTCATGCACAATAGGGGTTGCTTGGCGGCATTAACTATCTATAACTAAACTACTATGCGAACACCGTAGGAGACCGATGCTGCATGAATTTTAAATTGCAAATGAATTGCGTGCAAGATAAAGGCGTTTTTGTTTGTCTCCTTTTTAGGATTCAGCATGGTCTTGACCGGCAGCCACTACTTTCGAAGCACAAACATGAATCTTCCAAACAGAAGGCCTTCAGCCAAGCCGTACCCCTGCAACAGCAGCAAAAAGATTTGCAGGACCGTCTGGCTGTTGGTAGATCACAGAAGGCCCTCCAACTATACGTGAATGGCGTGAAGTCACTTGAAAACCCATTTTGCCCGCTTTGGAGACGTGCTCGATGTGTGTATGCTTATGAACCGTGTAACAGACAAACATAATGGACATGGCTACATTGCGCTTCGGCCGACAAGAGATCCGAGCCAAATTCTTGAAACGGATCACATTATACGTGGAGTTAGGACTAATGTTAAGGAGTGTTATTCATCTGACGATGAGGGAAACAACTGGGTGAGGTGAGTTTCAAAGAGGTCCGATTTCTTGTTCTTGCGATGGCAGTTTGACACCGCGTTCGCCTCTTGTTGCGTTTGCTCTCGTCTTTTTAACAGGTCATGCTGTGGGCCTCATGCAACCTTAGCGACGGCACGGCCCTGATGCTTGTTCCAACTTAGATCCCTACATTCGCAATCATTGATTTTTTTCAAAAGAAGGCGAAGGCACGATCACTGGGACCGTAGATTTATAAGCCTTAGCTTTCGAACTCGAACTGGAGTTCATCATCAGAGGCTGCTAGAGTGCAGCAGTGTGTGAACATTTATATCGGTGTGTCGTGAGGGCGGGGAGGGCCTACGTCCGTGGCTAGGTCTGGTTTGTGCCGCCTGTTCCACAATGATCCCGTGACGTGGTGACGCCGATTGTTCTTCGCGGCGATGTGAGCTGCGCCACCTACCTGCGTGGACGGAGTGCGTGATAACACGCAGGCAAATCAATGTGTTGTTGTAGCGAGGACCGTAGCAAGCACACGAGATGGAGAGGACGAACAAATATGAATGTAAGAGTCAGACCGAGAATACCCTATAACGGGGCTTTATTCATCCTACAATTGACGTACTGGGACTAAAACGAGAAATAGAAAAGTAGTAGGTAAGATGGAATTTAGCCAGGGGCTTATGTTAGCATGACATCCACCCCGTCCAACAAATGAAGGAATCGAGATGTCAAAAATCGATAGGAAAAGTTTGCATGGGGCAAAGTTCAGGCGTCTCTGTTACGAAGACATTATGAGTGAACACGCTGTTGTTGTTGTTGTTGGGTTAATGTTTCAAGGTTATGCATACGGACATCGTCAGCGGTCGGTAGACTTACAGGTGTTGCATCATTCTGTCCGTCAGTTGAAACGGTGCTACTTTCTTGCTCGGTATTGGGTGGGGGGTGGGTGGGGTCAGGTTAAAGTGGGGAGAAATTTTCTGGTTCCGGCGTGGCCGTCTCCTGGTGGCAATAATGAACGTCCTTTTCACCGCTGGGAGCAAGCAGTCGAACAGATGCCGTTTCTCCTGTGTCATTACTGAATCCTATATGAGCATACTAGGGGTTACACTGGAGTAGTTCTACCTCCTCAACAAGCAGATCAAACTTAGACTGTTGATTACTTTTCTTCAGCAAACCTCTGCCAGGAGAGGTGAACCACATGGGAAGAGTAGTGCCAGTAAATGACCTCCTTTTGTAGACAAACATTCTCTCATGAGGTGTTGCATTAGTCGCGGTACACAAAAGCGATCTAATTGAGTGTAAAGCGTCAAGTAAGACGGATTCCCAGTGTGTGACGGACAAATTTTGTGATTTTAGAGCAAGCAAGATGGTCCTCCATGAAGTGTTGTTCAGACGTTCAACGTGTCCATTTCCTTGGGGATTGTATGGAGTTGTTCTACTCGTCGCCACTCCCTTACTGCGAAGGAATTGCTGAACATCATTTGACATAAATGACGATCCCCG